TACAGAACTCGATTCGACTTCTACGGCAATTCTGTGTTGAATGCAGTACTTTGGGATATCTTGCATAATTCCCTACTGCATCGTACACAACATCGATATTCCACTTGTACAGGATCTTTTCCCGTTTTTGTGGATACAGATTGTCCGACAGACTTGCGTCCGGCATACTTGCGTCGAATCCCGACATCGTGCATCGCGCACGATCAAAGTCCGATCGCACGTGTCGAAAACCTCGTACTTGAATAGTTTCATTTTGGAACGTAAAAACTCATATTTCGTCATATCCCAACAGTAGAGGCCAGGAAATATATGGATGATTTGTCACCAACATATCCCCAACACAATGACAACATTCCGACCACGCCATTGGAAAAACGGGGTTCCTTTGCTGACTCCAGCAGTGCCTCGAAGATGAAACATCTATGTGTCCAATCATCTTTCAGCTTCTCCATCAACCGAAGACGATGAAACGAATCCTTCTCTCTGCCAACAACCAACTGAACAAGAACAGGATTTTCTAATTGCGGTCAGTTCAATAGAGTCACTGACCAAACCGAAAAATCAAGCTAACCGAAGTCACAACAACAGTAATTGAAAGGTTGCACTACAGATTATTGTGCGACTCATGAAGTTTCCAGATTTCAAAGATGTCAATCTTGACAGTGTGAAAACACGGATGATGTCAACACATTCAGAAATACCTTGAAGAGGCTCCATGAAAGGGGCTCACCATGCTTTCCTCTCCGCAAATACTACATAACAAACAATGGTGTCAGATGTTTCAATACGAGGAAACAAGTTTTGACTTCCATTGAACGATGAGGCTCATTTATTGACTGCACAACACGGCCGTACGTCCCTACCCAAGTTTTTCATCAGTTGTATACTAAGAACTGAAACTGTAATATTTAGGTGGTTAACCATCATTCTATAAGCTTTAAAAAGAGCGAGACATTTGGTTATTAGTATTTAAAAAGGTTAAAAAAAATGAAGGATGATTTATATGAATTTTGTTGTTGTTTGCCCTCAGACCTCAGACGCTATGGAGAGTCAGTCCTTCGCTCGTTCACGTGCGACAGACAGACATAACGGACGACCCATAGACGATGGCTAGAGAGTGGGTCTGTCCATTTCCGTCGAAAGCCCAACTGAAATTGCACTACCAGTACCAGGTACTACCGGTACAGTACTGCACCGCACCGTTGTACTTGCGCTGTGTTGTTCTGAAATCCTGCTGTCGACGAAACCCAAAAGATTGACTATGGCAGCGCTTGTCGTCACTTCAGGACATGCTTCACATGGATCGAATCCAAACTTTAAGGAAGAGATTCAGCATGCTACCGTTGAAGACTTGAAGCGTACCGCTACACTTGTCGTTGCGGATGAAACTGCAGATTCTGGAGTTTACGATTCTGCTCTTGAGGAGAAGATCCCGCGCTTTGAAATGAATGAGATAAGGTTGGGTCGAACACTTGGACGAGGGGGCTTCTGCACAGTCACCGAAATTGAAAAAGTAAAAATTGCGGGAGGTGAGACGAACACTTCTCGATTTAGGCTAAAAAAGTCCCGGTCCTCGCTTGATTCTTCAGACAAGGGTGGGGATGATATGGAATGGAAATCGGTTGCAAGCGAATCAAGAAAAGATTTGGAAAACCAGAGTGAGCCATTTTCGAGGACGCAATTGGCTTTTCTTTCTAGAAAGAAATCGAGGAAGAAAGGTGGCTATTTCGCGCTGAAGCAAGTAACGTTGGAAATGGCAAGTCTTAATAAGGTGAACTACCTGAAAGGTCTCGTTGATCTTTCAACTGAAGCCAAACTCCTTGCTGCGCTTGATCATGAGAACATAATTCGACTCTGTGGTGTGAGTATGGAAGGGTTCTCAGACTTTATCATCATCGAGAGACTGCAAGAAACTCTTTCTGGACGTCTTAAAAAATGGATGAAAACTGATCGGCAATGCAAAGGAGTCACGGGAGTTTTCACTGGGAGTAAGATGAAGAAAGTAGCGCTTGACAGAGAGCGTATAAGCACTGCCTACAGTATAGCGACTGGAATTGACTATTTACACAGTCGCAACGTAATATTTCGAGACTTGGTACGAGAAGATTGTTGTTGGACAACCCATTCACTTTCTTGCGTCTCACTCGATTTGTAGAAACCAGACAATGTGGGATTTGATGGTCACGGCATAACGAAAATTTTCGATTTTGGTCTGGCGAAGGAGTTGAAAGAAAGCAGAAGGACTGACGATGGTCTGTACCAAATGACATCTTTCACTGGTGCTGTTCGGTACATGGCTCCTGAAGTTGGCCTTGGTATGCCATACAATCTATCAGTCGATGTCTACAGCTGGTCGATGATACTGTGGTTCATTCTTGCCCTTGAACCACCATATGGATTTTATACAGAAGACATGATAATTGACCGTGTGTTCAAACGAGGTTCCCGCCCGGCTGTCTTTGAGTCTTGGTCTCATGAATTGGGCAATCTGATGAAGTGTTCGTGGGACAGCACAATATCCAAGCGACCTGGTTTCTCTGAAATCTGCAATGTTCTTCGATCAGAAATGTCGATCAAAGGCAAGTCTGGCACTCGCAGCTAGGCCATGGAGGATCCGTGGTACTCAAGCGCCATGTGGCTACTTGTGGAAAGAAAAGGATTAATCAGCCGATAGAAGCGCTAATCAATCATTGGCTCCATGTAGATTCCTTTCCATATGATATCTCCTTCTCGAAAACGAGACGAAGCAGTTTTAGTACTCTACCACCATGTCCAAAGTTTCTCCTGCATCCTGCTAATCTTCTTTCCGTTTTTGCTAGCAAGAAGCTTGGCGCAAGATGACAGAATTGTATCAAGAACGGGTTTCGTGACTCGGACCAATACGATTCGTACGTTAGCAGTCTTATGGGTCTTATAGTAATTAATAGTAAAATAGATATGATGACGTGTTGTCGGATGAGAACAGTTGGAACTTTGCGCACCAAGCGCATCAACTGTTCGTCAATTCCCGATCGACTCATCGCGTCGTGTTTTGAATTGATATCTTTATCTTCTAGTGTAAGGCTGAACCAGCCTAGAAGAAGAGATAGGAATGGGTCACAACAAAAGTTATAGAGTCTCTCAGAAAGCCACAGAAAGGAGTGACATAGGAGTTAGGCCTAAAGCTATGTCTGTACCTCCAAAGGGTCTAATCTAGTTCCAAGGTCACTCCAAGGTCATTACACTCTTCCCTTCTATGATCAGAGCCTGTCGATTGATCATACACTAAAGTCACAAGGCGTCCTTACATCCACTTGATCCTCCATT